AAAATACTTTCAACAATAAAAATATACATATGTATGTATATATTTTATGTTAAAAGATATGTATTTGTAAATTATATTTATGGTTAGGTCGGTCTTTATTAGGCAGTGTTTGCTGTAGCTCCTAGAATAACGTTGCACGCACTAGAAAAAATAATACAACGGTTGTTGAAGCACTATTGGAATGTGCCTCTCAACGGGGCTTCGCTCTCTTTGCGCTCGTCCCCCTCTCTCCCCCTCTTGTCAACTTATTTTCTCTCAATAAGAAATGCATGCGTAATGCAAGTGAGTTCCATTGCTTTCGGTGCCACACCCACACAAGGCCCAGCCACCCACTCTGCTGGCCTCTCGCTCTCCCCCCGATGCTGGCTCCCCAGCTGCCCCTACCACATCATTTGTCATGCCATTCCGTTCCATCTTGGTCCGAATTTCAATTCCACATTTGAGAGTATCAGCGCGCTGCTCTTCTCTAGTCTTTTTCGCATGCCCATGCTCCCCTTCTTCTATATGCCCCTCTCCCACTCCCGCTCCCTTTTCCACTGCAGCACAGCACAGCACAGCAGAAGCATAATCATCATCATAGATTTATCTCATTCACGCGCATGTAAAGCAAAGGCCCAAAAATTAAGTCGTAGTCGTTTGTAGCTTTTCGTTTTGCGCTTTGCTTTTTGCCCTCTTTCTTCATTTCCACCTCTTGCTCCCCCCTCAATGTTTCCCCCTCTCCCCTCCCCGCTTCCCCTCAGCTCATTCGCTTGTTATCATCATCAGCTCATTCCATTGTCTGGCCTTTCGTTCGTCTCGTTTTCTCCCCATTTCCCTCTACCTTTCCCCATTACCATTCCCTTTCCCCATTCTCCATCTTTCTTCTCTCCATCGTTATCGCTCTTTCTACCTCTCTTTGGCTTTGTCTGCGGCTCTGGTGTAGCCAATTTTGTGTTCGCTGGCCGTTACCATTTTTTTTTTTTTACTTTGGCCATGTTTGGCAACATGTTTCCCCCTCTCCGAGCTTTTCTTCTCCACTTCTTTTTATGTATGTTTGTATGTATGACACTATATGTATATGCATGCATGTGTATATGTTTCCTCCTTATCCCCATCTCCTCTACTCTCGTTGTCTCCTTCGCGAGTCGATGCAGCGACAGCTGTTGACCAAAGACCCCTGAAAAGGAGAGGGGTCAGAAGACTGAACAGAAGATTGCAAAGGTGGTAGCTTATCTACGCTTATCGTCGATCTTTTGAAATAAATTCCTAGGGAGTGTGAAACCCTTCATCTCGACCAGTTTTTCATTTGAAAAACGGTATAAAATTTCTATCTGAAATATCTTAAATAGTCTCCCAAGAAAATCCCAATCTTCTCGGCCAAATCAACTGCCCATTACCGCAGCCATTAATAATGCAAGTTTGTAGCCAATAAACATAATGGCGTATAGTGGGTTCAACATTCGAACAGACTCTTTGGCAATTAAAGGAAACTCGATATGGAATTATTTATTTTGATTAGTTGGCAACACTGTTGCGCTGTTGTTGCTGCTGTTATTTTTAAGTGTGGTAACGGCGCCCTCTGCCGGTGTCGTCGCTCGCGAATTGTCAAAGACGCCGGCTGCTCGCCGTTCTCGACTCTATCCTCTCTTCCAGCAACGCCAACAACAATAGCAGCAGCCGCAGCAGCAGCTGCTTTCCGTTGGAAGTTGCAGGCTATGTTGTGGAATGGTAAGAAAAAAGTAAAGGGGAAGGGGAGCAGGAAGGAAGAGGCTGCAGCAGAAGCGACGCGGCAGCGACAGCAAACAGCGACGCTGGCTCCTGCCTCTGCTGCTGCCGCCGCTGTCGCTGCTTGTCGTGTTGTAGTTGTAGTTGCGGCCTTTAGTTTGCTCAACGCGCGCGGAAGTCGCTAGGCGAAAAATATTTATCATAAAAAACAAGCAGCAGGGCCCCAAGGAAGCAAAACGGAGAAGAGAGACGTAAAAGAAGAAGAAGAAGCGGCAACGGTTGTCAATCGGATTAATTTGTATTGTACTTTTCTTTTCGTGTCTGTTTTGGTGTTCGGATTTTGCAAATGAGCGAATAGTAACGCTCACTCGTGCTCTCGCACTCTCGCTCTCTCGCTGCTGTCGAACGTGCGCTCTCTTTCTTTCCCACGGGCTCTCGGGTGGCGAGACGCTCTGCTGGCTCTCTCACCTCTCTTCTTCGCTTCTTCTTGGTTGTTAACTCTGTGTATTTGCACCTTCTTTCTTTCGCTCCGCTCGTTACCATTTTACAAACACACACGCGCACGTTGAAAGCGACTGCAAAAAAAATCGGACTAAACTGCGAACCAACGAATTAACCAAGAATAAATACAGAAAAAATATTGAAAATATGCAACGAATGTGAAAATTTAATGCTATAGAAAGTTTCCAAAGCATGGAATACGTGAAAATACATTAAAAAGCAATATGAATGTGATAAAATTGTAATAGAATGTGAAAAACGCACACACGCGCGCGGCCTCCGACACATACTCACACGCACGAAGGACGCATACACACACATACACACAGCCACGTATGTGTGTGCAGAAAAATATGCGGCGCTTAAAGAAGGTGAACGGCATTATAGTGGTCATTAAAACTTGTTAAAATTATCTGTAGACTTTTTTAAAATCATCCAATAAGCCTGAAATTGGTTGAAAGTGCGAGTGCCCGAGCAAAAGAGAGTAAGCAAGAGGGAGGGGGAATATAAAAAATAGTGCAAAAAAAGTTATGGGTAGCCATTTTCATTTCTTAAATTGTTTTAAATTTTCTTCTGTTCATTTCATTGTCTTTACGCTTTGCTTTTTGATAAAAAAATTACACACACACACACGCTGATGCACACGCTCTTCGTTGTATTTGCTGTCTCTGTCTTTCTTTGGCTCTCTCCAAACGCATACGGCCGCTCTCTCGTTTTCATTTCATTGCATCTCTCTCTCTCGCTCGAACATTTATTTTGCACATTTCCCTTTGCGCTGCCCCAGCCGCTGCCACCGCCCCTGGGTTGCCACCTAGTCGCAATGGCGAGCATGTGGCAGCACTCATTCTCTCTGAAGAGGAACTGTGGGAAGCGAAGCAAGGGATCAAAACAAACACGGCGACAGAACGGCAGGCTGTTTTGCAAAGTGGCAAGGCAAAAAAAAATTAAAAAAATAAAAATTACCACAAAAAAATAAATAAATTAACAAGAAACTTGTTTGTTATTTTAAGTATATTGTGGCAACACTAAAAGTTGTGGTGGCAACCACAATTTTTGATTTCGTTTTCTTGTCAAACGTGAAAATGCATGTCCATCTTTATATTTGAGGGGAAATAAAGGAAATGTTCATTCTTTCATGATAAAAGTACTCGTGAACAAAAAAATCGTATTTATTTTTAAATCTAAGACTGTAGAACGTATCTGTCAATTCTATTCAATTCAAACATTAATGTGTTAACTGTCAACAAAAGTTCATGATTTCATTTGAGAGCCTCGTAAAGGAATTTCAGTGATCAGCGCACTAACTTATACCACTAACCATACAGCATATAGACAACCCATTTCATACAACGAAAATGGACGCGAAAATTTCTTGCGACAGGCCCCAGCAGGCCCCAGAGCGGATTTCTTACGCTCTCTTACGCTCATCGTTCGTTCATCTTACGCTCATTCTCGCAATAAATGTTTTCTGTTTCTCAGTCTCTAAACGGAGCGCGATGAAGAAGGTTGGCCTGCGCTTCGGTTGATCTTTGTATGTATGCGTGTCACACATTCACATACATGGGTGTATGTGTGCGTGCGATTTCGTTTCGAAGCCAGCGCACAAAATTTTGATTTTTCTTACTTTTAAGGCTTGCTACCCTAACAAAATTCGGGTATTCGTTATTTGATGAAATGACGAAAGAAATTATATTATTTTTTATTTTATTTTTTTTTATTATTTCAGCATACATTTTTAATTTATTTAGGAATAAGATTAAGTGTTAGTAGTAAAATGTTTTCTGTATATATATTTTTACGAATCATTAAAAATCAATATACTGAGAAAGTGTCAGAGTATATTTCGGTCGGAGTCACTTAAAGCGCCGATTGCTTTTAAGTTTTTGTTGTTCTGCAAGAGGCTTGTGCATGCCTACTCTAACGATGGAATGATTTTTAGGGGAGGGTGAAGACACGAAAACAGCTGATGGACTTGTTTACCTTTTTTGTTTACAATTTTTCAGGCACTTGTTATTATATTTTGGGTTATTGTGAGATTTAATTAAATTATTGTCGTTAATTTAATAATTTCCTTATATATATTTCCTTATATATAATAACTTTAAAAAGTAATTTAATTCTTCACCCGTCTTCACCCTCCCCTAAAAATCATTCCATCGTTAGAGTAGGCATGCACAAGCCTCTTGCAGAACAACAAAAACTTAAAAGCAAACGGCGCTTTAAGTGACTCCGACCGAAATATACTCTGACACTTTCTCAGTATATTGATTTTTAATGATTCGTAAAAATATATATACAGAAAACATTTTACTACTAACACTTAATCTTATTCCTAAATAAATTAAAAATGTATGCTGAAATAATAAAAAATATAATATACAAAATAATATAATTTCTTTCGTCATTTCATCAAATAACGAATACCCGAATTTTGTTAGGGTAGCAAGCCTTAAAAGTAAGAAAAATCAAAATTTTGTGCGCTGGCTTCGAAACGAAATCGCACGCACACATACACCCATGTATGTGAATGTGTGACACGCATACATACAAAGATCAACCGAAGCGCAGGCCAACCTTCTTCATCGCGCTCCGTTTAGAGACTGAGAAACAGAAAACATTTAATGCGAGAATGAGCGTAAGATGAACGAACGATGAGCGTAAGAGAGCGTAAGAAATCCGCTCTGGGGCCTGCTGGGGCCTGTAGCAAGAAATTTTCGCGTCCATTTTCGTTGTATGAAATGGGTTGTCTATATGCTGTATGGTTAGTGCTTATACGTATCTTTCTGCCATTGCAGATGTCCGCCGGCGCTCAGTTGCAAATGGCCCCACAAACCACTTCGGCCCTAAGTCACCACCATCCCAACCAGCAACAGCAGCTGCAGCCGCCGCAGCAGCCGACACCACAGCCCCCGCCCCAACAGCAGCACCAGCACTTCGCTAACCACCACAGCGCCCAGCAGCAGACGGGACAGCAGCAGCAGGAGCAGCAGAATCCCCAGCAGCAGGCGCAGCAGATCCTGACGCAGCCACATTTGCAGCACCTGCAGAAGCATCCGCATCAGCTGCACCAGCTCCAGCACCCGCAGCAGCAGCAGTTGCACCAGGCTCAGCAGCAGCAACACTTCCACCAGCAGCAGCAGTCGCTGCAACAACAAGGGCTGCAGTCGCACCAGGGCAGCAGTAACCCGGACTCGAATATGAGCACTGGCTCCTCGCACAGCGAGAAGGATGTCAACGACATGCTAAGTGCAGGAGCAACTCCTGCCCTTCAGCAGCAACAACAGCATCCCGCCTTTCCGCCCGCCCTGGGCATGCAGCAGCCACCCCCGCCGCCCCCTCAGCAGCACTCGAACAATGGGGGCGTGGCTGGAGAAATATCGTACTTGACATCCGCCACGACGACGGCCAACAAACAGCCGCGCACGCCAGCGGAACGGAAACGTAAACGGAAATTACCGCACAGCAGTACGGATGAAGCGGGGAGTGGTGGTGGTGGAGGATCCGGCGGAGGAGGCTCTGGCGGATCGGTGAACAACAGCAGCCTGAAGGGAAAGTCCCTCGCCTTTCGTGATATGCCCAAGGTGAATATGAGCCTGGGCCTTGTCGACCGCCTGGGCGGTGGCAGTGGTGGCGGGGCAGGCGGAGCCGGGAGCGGTGGCTCCGGAGCAAGTGGAGGCTCTGGGTCCGGCAGTGGCGGCGGCAAGAGCGCTCGACTCATGCTGCCTGGCAGCGACAACAAGAAGATCAACGACTACTTCAACAAACAGCAGACGGGCGTGGCCGTCGGGGCCGGCGGTGGCGGAGGCAATCCCTCGGGCCTCAGAGGTTCCCATACAGGCGGAGGCAGCAAGTCGCCCTCGTCCGCTCAGCAGCAGCAGCAACAACAACAGGCGACGCAACAAACGGCGGCGAGCGGGGCCAGTGGCGGGAGCGCCAGCCAGGTGCAAGTGCAGACCAGTAGCGCCTACTCGCTATACCCGCCGGCTAGCCCTCAGACACAGACTCCGCAGCAGCAGCAACAGCAGCCCGGCTCCGATTTCCATTACGTCAACTCCAGCAAGGCGCAACAGCAGCAGCAGCGGCAACAGCAGCAGCAACAGACTTCCAATCAAATGGTTCCTCCGCACGTGGTCGTTGGCCTGGGTCATCCCCTCACTCTGGCCTCCATCCAACAGCAGCAGACGCCGCAGCAGCAGCAACAGCAGCAACAACAACAGCAACAGCAGCAGCAGCAACAACTCGGACCACCGACGACCTCGACGGCGACTGTGGTGCCCTCGCATCCACATCAAATCGGGTCCCTAGGCGTTGTTGGGATGGTCGGGGTTAATGTTGGCGTGGGCGTGAATGTGGGAGTTGGCCCGCCCCTACCACCACCCCCTCCAATGGGCTTACCCGCGGCGATCCTCACGTACACCAAGGCCACGCAGACCGAGATCTTCCTGCACCAGCTCGAGGACCGTGAGACTGAGCTCGAGTCCATCAAGGTGAAGCTGGACGAGGTGACGCGGTTGTCGGACGAACAGAAGTGCCAGATCCTTGGCAACCAGAAGACGATCGACCAGCACAAGTCGCACATTGCCAAGTGCATCGACGTAGTGAAGAAGCTGCTTAAGGAGAAGAGCAGCATCGAGAAGAAAGAGGCGCGCCAGAAGTGCATGCAGAATCGTCTTCGACTTGGCCAGTTTGTGACTCAACGAGTGGGCGCCACATTCCAGGTAAGGCTGTCCTTCCCTCTCGCCTAGAACAAGTAATAACTATAATTTTGATTCGCAGGAGAATTGGACGGACGGATATGCGTTCCAGGAGTTGAGCAGGCGTCAGGAGGAGATCACCGCGGAGCGCGAGGAGATCGACCGGCAAAAGAAGCAGCTGATGAAGAAACGTCCCGCCGAGTCTGGCCGCAAGCGAAACAACAACAGCAACCAGAACAACCAGCAGCAGCAGGCGCAGCACCAGCAGCAACAGCAGCAAAACTCCAACTCAAACGACTCTTCCCAGCTGACGGGAGGCGTGGCCAGCGGTCCCGGTAGCGACCGACTGGGTGGAGGAGCGGCTGGTAGCGTCGACAGCGGTTTGGGCGGCAACAATGCGGGCGGGATTGGAGGCGGAGGTGGTGCCGGCGTCGGAGGCAGCGGCGGTGGCGTCGGAGGAGTCGGCGCCGTTGGAAGCGGAGGCGGTGGCGGCGGACGCGGCCTGTCCCGTTCCAACTCGACACAGGCCAATCAGGCCCAAATGCTGCACAACGGCGGCGGCGGTTCCGGCGGCAACGTTGGCAACTCTGGCGGCGTCGGCGACCGGTTATCCGACCGGGGAGGAGGAGGCATCGGCGGCAACGACAGCGGCAGTTGCTCCGACTCGGGCACTTTCCTTAAGCCGGACCCCGTGTCCGGAGCGTACACCGCGCAGGAGTACTACGAGTATGATGAGATCCTAAAGCTGCGGCAGAACGCACTCAAGAAGGAGGACGCCGACCTCCAGCTCGAAATGGAGAAGCTCGAGCGGGAGCGCAACCTGCACATCCGCGAACTAAAGCGGATACTTAACGAGGATCAGGTGGGTTTTCTGTCCCATGGTGGAGCTCTGTCCACCACCCTTTGTCTTCTAACTAACCAATTATGTCACATCCGCAGTCCCGCTTCAACAATCATCCCGTGCTGAACGATCGCTATCTCCTGCTGATGCTCCTGGGCAAGGGTGGCTTCTCAGAGGTGCACAAGGCCTTCGACCTCAAGGAGCAACGCTATGTCGCATGTAAGGTGCACCAATTAAACAAGGATTGGAAGGAGGATAAGAAAGCTAATTATATCAAGTGAGTAGAAGCGATGAGGAGAAGATGAGGGCGCCAGGGACAGAGTAGACTGTAGTAGCTTTCATTACCCAAGTGGAGACGTAGGTCTGAATAGTACTGAATTAAAATAAGCTTAGTAGTTTTCAAAAGATAAAGATTACAAATTGTTGGAAGCGATTAGTAGTCCTGAAAATTGCGTAGCCTGGGCGGGACACTCTGACTATCAATAAACCTTGACTAAAATCTTTTCCATCGAAAAAACCAATTGCTTATCACAGACACGCCTTGCGGGAATACAATATACACAAGGCTCTGGATCACCCGCGGGTTGTCAAGCTCTACGACGTCTTTGAGATCGACGCGAATTCGTTCTGCACGGTCCTCGAGTACTGCGACGGCCACGATCTGGACTTCTATCTGAAGCAACATAAGACTATACCCGAGCGTGAGGCGCGCTCGATAATAATGCAGGTAAGTACCACCTCTAGATGTTTTTAGTTACTATCCATACTTACCCTGTACCATTGTCATTGCCATTGCCAGGTTGTGTCTGCCCTTAAGTATCTAAATGAGATTAAGCCGCCGGTCATCCACTACGACCTGAAGCCCGGCAACATATTGCTGACCGAGGGCAACGTCTGTGGCGAGATCAAAATCACTGACTTCGGTCTGTCCAAGGTGATGGACGACGAGAACTACAATCCCGACCACGGCATGGATCTGACCTCCCAGGGCGCGGGCACCTACTGGTGAGTGCATTGCCGTGATCCTCTCCTGTTCCTCTTGCTTAATAATTTGTTGACAGGTACCTGCCACCCGAGTGTTTTGTGGTGGGCAAGAATCCCCCAAAGATATCTTCGAAGGTGGACGTGTGGAGCGTGGGCGTGATCTTCTACCAGTGCCTCTACGGAAAGAAGCCGTTCGGGCACAATCAGTCGCAAGCGACCATCCTTGAGGAGAACACGATCCTGAAAGCCACCGAGGTGCAGTTCTCCAACAAGCCAACAGTCTCCAACGAGGCCAAGGTAAGTGTCTGCTCTTAGCTGCAATTTGCCTTCAAAGCTAATCCTCTTTCGCACAGAGCTTCATCCGCGGCTGCTTGGCGTACCGAAAGGAGGACCGCATGGATGTGTTCGCTCTGGCCCGGCACGAGTACATCCAGCCACCGATACCGAAGCACGGACGGGGCTCGCTCAATCAGCAGCAGCAAGCGCAGCAGCAACAACAACAGCAGCAACAACAGCAGCAGCAGTCGTCGACGTCGCAGGCCAACTCAGCCGGCCAGACATCGTTCTCTGCCCACATGTTTGGCAATATGAACCAATCCAGTTCATCCTAGCTGCCAACCAAGCGAAATTCTAATTCATAATTCGCCGTTGCTAACGTGTCAGCAGCACTGAACCTGCAACAGATCCAGCAGCAGCAGTTGCAGGTTAGTAGTAGCAATAATTATGCAGCAACGCTGCTCGATGCAGCCTACTGCTATGAGACCCACTACATGATGGAGGCCACCCACTATAGCAGCAGCAGCAACTACAATAATAACAATAACATTACCAGCAACAGCAACTACAACTATTATAACTATGGCTACAACAACAACAACAACAACAAAAATAACAATAACGCCAACGCCAACAACAACAACAGCAACCTTACATACAACAAAAGCAGCCCGAAGAAGAACAACACAGTGGGGAGTGGAGATGCCGCTGCTGCTGCTGGCTCTGTGCAAGCAATAACACCAACATACCAGGGGAAGTACAAGCGCTGGCAGCAGCAACAACTGCAGCAGCAGGCGCAACTGCAGCAGCAGCAGCACAAGCTGCTGTTGCAACAAGAGCTGCTGTAGTAGTAGTAGTCAGACGTAGTCACACAGAACTATGATTCCCTATGACAAGGAGAACAAGAGCTGCCTGCAACACTGCCGCCAAGCAACGGTTGCTGCTGCAACAACCCCGATGAATTTTCAGTCGCAAAACAACAAAAATTTAAATTAAAAAAAAAACTATATATGAATATATATATGCATATATATGTATATTAAATGTGATAAACAGCGTAAAGCATAAAAAATACAAAAAAAGAAAATACAAAAAAAAATCCCCAAACAAATCAGAGAACAGCGAAAGAAGCTGGCAGAGGACGGAAGGAGGAGCAGATGATGGACGGCAGATATAGGAGCCAAGCTGGAGAAAAAAGTTATACATAAAAATCTTAAATTCTGCATTAGCATTCGGATGCAGAGAAATGGAATGCGAAGACCGGATAGGGAGATGGGGAATGTCGCCGAGGATGAGTTAAAAGCTTGAGAAATTGTTTATAAAGGCTGCTATAAACACATACTTTTTTTTTGTTAATTATAAAACCAAGAAGAATAATTAATATAAATTTAATGATTAAATGCTAAATGTAAATTAGTACGTAGATGGTATCTAAAACCTAAAAAATCGTAAAAAAAAATCTAAAAAAAAGCCAGAGCCGATTTCCTAGACCGCTTAAAAGCCAGGAGAAATGAAGGACGAAAAGCAACAAGAATGGCAAAAGTGTGCGCAGAAAACAGGTCTCTTCTTTGTATCAAGTAATGATTAATTCGAAAATCAGAACAAGTTAGCTTAGACTAAAGAAGTACACTGTTTAAAACAAAGTGAAATGTTTAAAGAGCAGGCCCATAAATGCCGAAAACCCCTACCCACAAAAGCGGGACACAGTTGAAGCTTGCATTCTGTTGAAGGACTTTGTTTTTCTTTTGTGGTTCAATCATCACAATCAATCGCAATCATTCACAACACACAACATATTCACACTAGGGAGAACCCTCCCTATCGAAGGGAGGTCAGGGTATTTAAATTATGTTTAATTACCGGTACTCATTTTATGGCATATAACACCATTTCACGCAGACATATATTAACAGATACATTTTTTTACATTTGGGGTATTTTTGCATTCGTAAATTTTGATTTTAACTTACTCGTGAAGTATCCACCCAACTTATTTTTATTTTTGAGTTAATTTTTTAAAATATCTTTCATAGTTTTTATTCCAATTCAAAATCCCATTACACATCCGCGCGCACACACGCACACACTCCGACCTCATTCTCACTTTTATGTACATATATGACCGTACTTGAGCAAACAATACGAAACCCAAAATATCGAATGCAATTTCAAAAGGCTTCAGAGATGATTCAGATTCAAGAGAAATTCAAGAAATAGCATTTGTTTTAAAACGTGCCACAAACGAGAAATGCTGAGAAATATATGGGAAGAGACGGCAGTGAAGGCGGCGGGGAAGGTTGCTCTCGCCCCGAAAGAAGATCGTAAAGCCCATTCGAAGTAATCGACTTCTAAATACATAATAAAGTAATGTAATAGTTTTTATTTATATATATATATACATATATATATAAAAATATATATATACATTTTTTTTAATTTTAGAATATATTTGTAATGCACTATGCGTAAAATTGTATTAAATATTAATATCCAAGGCATATTAATAGAAATATATATATATATAAACCATATACAAACTACTAAAATCATGAACTACCAACCTAAATGTTTCAGTAATACATTGATCTATATGTATGTAAAACCGATACGAGGTCTGCCCAATTCCATACGGAATATAAACGAGAAGCTCAGCTCGGCGATAGGGAAAGAGAAAGAGAGAGATAATAAGGGAAGTGATTGAAGTGATTGGGGCAGTGAGAGAACCGGGAACCAGGAACCAGGAACAGGCGAGGCGGATATTTATACATTTTTTGTCTTTTATGAGTACGGAGAAAGCGCAAAGTAAAAAGCCGAACTTAGTTTTAGTGGAAACGGAAGGGACTCGCGGACTGGAATAAAAGAAAGCAAGCTGAAGGAAAGAAAGAAAATGGGGAAAAAGGAAAAAATACAAAAAATCCCTAACAAATAGCAAAAAAAAATTGTACATATTTATATAAATAATTTATGCCTAATTAAAACTAAAATTAATGATGAAAATCTACAAAAAAAAACGATAAGAAGTAAAAAGCAGAAAACTGTTTCCGATTTGTATGTACGTACTTTCCTTTAATTTTAGCCAATCAGTTTGTAAGATTTTTTTTTTTTAATTTTTTTTTTATACGATAATTCAGAATTCTTTTTGTTCGATTTGTGTAAACCTTTAGCAGTATCCCCATACCGTAAGCATTCATACATATGGCCCATTTCTATATTCAAGTATGCGTGTTGATTTAAATTGTAGAACAGGATGCGAGAATGTGTGGGGAAGTCGCAGGAACAAGGCGCTGGAATGAAAGGAGTGATATGCGTAGAAAGTGACAAAGAGGGAGCTGAATGCGAGAAAGAGCAAGCTAAAGCTAAAGCGTATGAGCAAATCTATTGATAATATAATTATGTAAAATGCAAATCTTCAAAATATAACTTATATATATTTTAATGAGAAAAACGGAAAAGATAAACGAACTACTATATTTTTATTTTTATTTTTATGCTTATGATTATAATTATCTTATTTTTTATTACCACTTAACGGTTTCGGTTCGATCCGCAGCTCGAAGAAACCAATAACAAGAACCAAGATACAGAAACAACAGAAACTGCAACAAGAGAAGCAAAAATAAACAAGCGAAATGTTTGATAAAAAAAAACCTCAACGAGATGTTTTTATTTATTTTTAATTTTATGTTTTAAACATTATTTGCTTCCATTTAATTCAATGTAACTTTGTTTTTGTATAGAGGACAGGTGCCACACACACACACATGCAAAAAAAACACAGAAGCATATAAAGCTAACAAATTAATAACTACTAAGTGTTTAAATAGTACTAAACAAATCAAAATATAAATACATGGGAAAAATTACATTTAAAGCAGTAGCTGAGCTGATACTGCTGAGGCAGAAGAGCCATATGCATCACAGAAAATAATAAGGAAGCTGGGGAAGCAGGAAAACAAGGTTAAGGAGAAAAACAAAAAACATTAAATTATTTGTTGAGTATTTTATTAAATAATAATTACGATAATAATTATAAAATTTAAATTGAACGAATGAAAATGAGCAAAAACAAACTCAATATACATACATATATATATATATAAATATAAATATATATATATATATATATATAAACAAATTATTTAATAGTTATGCTAAAAAATTATTTAAAGTGAATGATATGAAAAATATTTGCATGCGCCACCACAAACGAACGGGAAAATTGAAAAGTCGAATGTATTCAAAAAATGCCACCCCACCCTTCGAAAAGCCTCCACCCCCCTTTCCAGCCTCCCAAAACTAACATTCCATAACCAATCTCCTATCGTCCTTGCGAGATGTGGAAAAACTAGGAAAGAAGAATAAAAAAACAAAGGAAAAGAACGGGGCGGAAACTGTGAGGATTGAACGTGGCTGAGCAAGCGGAACTAAATTAATGAGTAAACATAAAGATTAATTAATAAATTAATTCCAGAACAAAAACAAAAGTAAAGAAAAACAAAAGGTAAAGCAAGACGAAAAAACAAGACAAAAACAAAAGAAACATTGAAAATAAAAAATACTAAAATGATTTAAAAGAAGGAAGTTTTTAGTGGCAAAGGGGACTCTAATCTTTTTAGGTTTAAAACGTTGAATAGCTGGAACCAAATCGTACTCGAATTGACTATTCTGATACGAAAAAGGTGGTATTAAATTTTACATTTTTAGTTACCAATTATTTTGACAAGATAAGTATGCAGTTCGATGGACTTTGGGGCGCTTTGGAAAAATCGGTCAAAAATAAGTTGTTTGATATCAAAAAATTTGGTATGCAGTTCGGTTGACATTCGAGCGCAGATTCCAAAAATGTGCGGCGCTGCAAGATCGGACCAGAAATTGAGATTCTAGAGCTCATATCTCAGCCATTTGTAGTCCGATCTGGCAACACTTGGCATTTTCGGAATCAGCGCCTCGATATTAGTCGAACTGCATACCAATTTTGTCGAAATCTGAGAATACATTCACAAGGGCAAAATCACAAAAAACGAGACGCACCCGCTGTATTATAATTCGCAACCGGTTCAAGCGTCGGATAAGTATAAATAGAAAGTTGCTGGGCCGAAATCCTTTTTGAAAAATATTAGTATCTCAGCCATTTACTGTCCGATTTGGACGAATGATGTCTTAAAACACTCGTAGGGATCTAAGAACGCGATCAATGCAAAAAAGTTCGGCGTTACCAGATCGGGTTACAATTGCGCTTTCTTGAGGCCATATCTCGGCCATTTGTGGTACGATCTGGGAACGCTTGGCATTTTCAGAATCAGCGTCCCGAAATCTATCGAATTGCATACCAATTTTGTCAAAATCTGACAAAAAAATTTTCCGCGAAAATTGGAAAAAATCGTGATGTATAGCCTTTCCATTTTTGCGAAAAATCGGTCGAAAATGAGTTGTTCGATATCGAAAATCGTGGTATGCAGTTCGGTGGACATTCGAGCGCTGATTCCAAAAATGTACGGCGTTGCCAGATCGGGTCAGAAATAGAGATTCTAGAGCTCATATCTCGGCCATTTGTGGTCCGATCTGGCAACGCTTGGCATTTTCGGAATCAGCGTCCCAAAGACTGTCGAATTGCATACCAATTTTGTCAAAATCAGACAAAAAATTTTTCCGCGAAAATTGGAAAAAATCGTGATGTATAGCCTTTCCATTTTTGCGAAAAATCGGTCGAAAATGAGTTGTTCAATATCGAAAATCGTGGTATGCAGTTCGGTGGACATTTCTACGCTGATTCCGAAAATGTACGGCGTTGCCAGATCGGGTCAGAAATAGAGATTCTAGAGCTCATATCTCGGCCATTTGTGGTCCGATCTGGCAACGCTTGGCATTTTCGGAATCAGCGTCCCAAAGACTGTCGAAATCGGACTAAAAATTTGTCCGCGAAAATCGTGATAGAAGCCTCGCGGCGTTGCCAGATCGGGCCATATTTCAACCGTTTTTTTTGGCCTTTCCAACAGACGCCAACTTTCCAGTCATCGTTGGCTTTACAACACTGGTGTTTTGTTGTTTTGCAACACATAAGTATCGATGCTAAACATCGATAGATGTCATCGTTTTTTTGCAATACCTATCTACTGGTGTTTACAACACTAGAACACAGCGCCTAGTTTGAATTTGTAGTTTGAAAACTTTTCCCCAAGCGGAGGCTTTATATTCTGAAAGAATTGTCACCCGAAAATTATTGCTGGATGAGACGCAATCATAGAACCTAATTCGGGATAGTAAAAACAGCTAGATGTTAGCACTTCGGATTCTCGTTTATTTATTTCGATCACTGGTTGCTTAAATGTTTGACATGCTTGGAACTCAGGCCATGAATATTTTGAATATGTGAGTGAATGGGCCAGTGGGTGAGTTTGAGTGCTTCGTGTGGGTATGGGCGGCTAAATGCATTTGCTTAGTACATTTTTAAAATTTTTATCAGTACAATTTTTTTTGGAAAAAAAAAACAAGTTCCGCACTTGTCTTTAGATGAATTTCCTTTTGTTTTGCGGCTTAATATATGCTGCTGGCACCGAGTATCGTTCATTAGGGCTAATTGTTTAATATACATATAATTCTTGCTTTTTTGGTTTCTTATCGAGCTTTTAGTTAAACTAGATCGACAGACATGCCTTGACTTCACTTTTAAATGTGAGTAACATTTTCGGTGCATTTTAATTGTCTTAAATAAGCTGGGAATGGCCTAAGGCGGCATGAAGTTGGCAATGAAACTGGCCATGTATTAGGTGGTGGTGACTGCAAGTGGACAATAGGTCTGTTCGCCCGGAATTGTGTTCCATTCGTTTCGGTTTTATATTTTTCGCCAGTGCTTCTATTTGCTCTTGTTCCAAGTGTTTGGAGTTCTTGTGAAAAATATCGCTTAATCTGTATTATTATTTATGTTTTAATTTCAAAACTGGCCCAAAAGAATTGAAAGTTATTCGAATTTCAATTCTTCTTGTTTTTTCATTTTCCGTTTTTTAAGAAATCGCTAAGGCAGCAGCTGTCTCCTTCTCTACTTCTCCTTGTCTTCCTTCTCTTTCTTATTCGTTTTCTCAGTCTGTCTCCGTCTCTATCTCTCTACTCTGAAGACCTGTTGTCCTGCTCTGTGTGGTGTGAAGGGTCTGGCATGTTTTTTTGCGTTTTTTCGAATTTCTTACAACTTTAGTCCAAGCCGTCGTCCACGAAGTCGGCAGACTCCTTAGTGGCCTTCGGCTCCGGTCCGGAATCTGTCCCAGCCTTTGGCGGTTCCGCCTGGCCGAAAGCAGCACCTATGTCTCCGCCGGGCACGAACTTCTTGATCAGATTGAAGATTTTCGGATTAGACACGTACTTCGAGATGTTGGCCGGGTTGGCGAGGATGTCCTGCAAGAGATTTTACATGGATCAGTAATGTGATACAGATATGGATCTCTAAATATAAATATAATGCGTCTCTCTTTCAATTAACAAGCTAACAAACACCTACCTTCATGGCGGGGGCCACCTCGGGATCCTTGATGAGCTCCATCAAGTCAGCCATGTCCACGCCGCCGGGCATACCGCCACCCCCAAATCCAGCTCCAGGAAAACCGCCTGGGAAACCACCTGGGAATCCGCCAGGGAAACCTCCAGCGCCACCAGCAGCACCAGCACCCGATCCAGTCGAGTTGGCGCTCTGCTTGGCCTGTTCCTTGCGCGCTCGCCGTTGGGCCCGCTGGCGCTCCTTCAGCTTGCGCTCAGCCTGACGGCGCTCCTGCTTGACACGGTGCTGCTCGATCTTCTTGGCATTGGGAGTCACTTCACGCAGCCACTCGTCGGCTTCCTCGTCAAAGTCCAGCTTGCAGGCCTGGCGCAGATCCTTGGCCGCCTCAGCAAAGTCGCCCAGCAGGCGGTGGGCGCGGCCACGAAACTTGTAGGCCGCCGCAGAGTCGCAGTTCAGCTCCAGGGCCTTGTCACAGTCCCGAATGCAGGCGTTCGGCTTCTTCAACTTGAGGAAGGCTTGGCCGCGCTTGGCATGGAAGAGGGCGTTGCCCGGGTTAAGCTCGATGGCCTTGGTATAAAGGGAGATGGCCTCCTCGAACTTTTGCTCTCCGTAGGCGGCCGCAGCCTGGCCACGCAAGTCACCGGCTTGATCGGCCTCTTCCTCGGTGGGCTCCTTGGCGGAGTCGCCCATGGGCTGAGCAGGCTCATTGTCGGCCTCGATGACTCCTATAATAATAGTATGTATCTTTTATTTGTATGCGTAAATGCTAGGACATTCCCAAAAGTGCTTGTTTACGTTCGGAAATTAATTTGTAAAATAATATATGTATAAAGTCCACAATTTATGGGCAAGTAAAGTTCCTGATTGCACGCCCTAACCAAAGGCGGCCACGACAAGATCCTTCATGCATGCTTCTAGAGCTTTCCATAAGCAATACGGCAACAAATAAGAAGTTGATTTTTTTTCGTATTCTAGGTGTGACCCTTGCAACTTGACCACGTGACTTGGCAAAAATTGCAAGGCCACCCTGCCTGCAGGTTTCTCTCTTTTTGGTTTCCCTATGCGCAGCACTTACCCTCCAGGTCCAGCTCCACCTCAGACTCGGGCTCCGACAGGGACTCCTCATCCTGGCTGTCATCGGAGACACTCTCGGAGGTATCGGCCGGCTTCTTGTCTTGTCCACCAGCATCGCCGCCGAAGGGGCACTTTCTAGTGGTGACCAAAAACGGCAAAGAATGCGTGTAAGGGGGCAGGCACTTGAGGTATAACACTTTAACTAGGTATAAACACTTACCCGCCTGCGGCGGCGTCGGGCATCTTGAAATCGCCGGCCGGAACCTTTCCGCCGAACTTTTCGATGAAATCCTTCACAAATTGCAACTGCGGCATGTTCAAGACCGTGGGATTTGCGTCCACAAACTCAATAAAGCTCTTCAGCTTAAGCAGATCTTCATGTTGCATCGGCGCTGCCATTTTGCGTTGTAACTCTTGCAGAATATTTTCTCGAAAATGCTAAATGCTAGAACTCTTCGTTTTTTTCTTCTCACTTCACCTCAGTGTTGCCAGATGGCGGAATTTGACTTTAGCCAATACCGAAAATCCACAAAAAAATCCGGAATACTAAAATACCGAATACTGCGCCCTACAGTACGGAATTAACAGACACTTTACAGAGCGTTAACATTAACATACACTTTACAGAGCGTTGAAGGTGGTGCCAGACTGGGCCAAAATATTGTAAAATACTAAACTTATTTTCGATAATTTGACAAAATTAATGTCACAACTTGAATGTAAATTTGGTATAAGAAAGATCAATATTTTCCAATGTTTATATCAACTTTCCGATATTATCCCAATTTTAAAATATCGGAAATGAAATTCAGTATTGAATTCAGTATTTTGGTATTTTCAGGCCGATATATTTTGAGTGGAATCGAAATCGACAGATGGTCACACTGATATTTTAGATTTTGAAGCGGTAGGACGTGTGTCGCGCTGCTGCCGACGAAGTATTTTTTGACCGCCAACGAACTGTTCGTGCGCGCTGCGAGTCTTTTGTACCTCGGACTACCTACCAACCTACCAGTAAAAAAAACTGCCACTACCACAACCGCGCGCGAAATAACTCACAGATACCAACGAAAACCCCAAACCAACGCGAATTGAACCACCACCGCCAGCGAGTTTACTGTTGCTGCTGTGCTTGGTTGTTTTTTTGTTGTTGTGGCTGCTGCTGTTCTTGTGCCGTGCGTACCACAAACTTTTAGACATTAACCTTTGCTGCATTCGTATTTGGGGGCAGGCAAACAAACAAAGCGGAGTTTGTCCTGTGCTATTAGTGCTTTATTCCTGGCCGTTGCCCGCAGAACGGTACTGGAAACACAAGAAGTACCAGAAGCAGCAAAAACAACAACGGCGTCCCATCCCACACATACATACATACACACATTCTGAAGTCGCGGGAACTCTTTTTTTTTTTTTGTTGGTTTTTTTCGGCTGCTGTACACACAGTGGCTGTCAAGATAGTGGTGGCGCGTATTAATTGAAAATCGGCCAAGTGCAGTGGTTTGTTGGAGTTTGCCACCGAAAAGATAATACGCATTCCACAAGAGAGTTGTGGCCGAAACTCTGTTTTCTGCCAGTCTAAACCTAACATTTTGGCCGCCACTGTTGGTTTTTGTGTGTGTATGCGTGTTGCAGTTGCATAGTTTTTCTTTTCTCGCACTGGAATTCCTCGCGACCAAAAGAAGGAGCCAGAGAGAGAGAGAGAGAGAGAGAGCGCGCGCTCCGTTTTCCGCAAAAATGTCGCGTGTGTTTACCTTTTAATCTCAAGATTCTTTTTGTTCTTGTGCAGTTACGACCTAGCAGTTACGAATTTCCCCAAACAAAGTAAAGCGAGAGATACAAGTTGGATAACAAATAGAAGAAAAACGCGAAACAAAATTCAAGAGGGGACCGAGATCTTCCCAAACTCACGCACATCCCATCTCCACACACACTCCGCGTCATACCACACCACACCACACCACACACACCATGTTCACCGAAAAGGGAATCTTCCCGATTGGCGACGGACTACTGGATATAGACGACGATCGCCTCAAGGGACTACTCGTCTCGCACGACATCAACGAAATATACGAGGTCGAACAGACACCATTTGCCAGGTGAGTTGCCCGAAATTTGTCATCTTTAGGGTAAGATCTTGGACTTGGCCCGCTTGGTTCTTTTGCTCCAGCTCCAGTGCTGACTGCTCCGGGCGGCTGCTGTTTAAATTGAATGCTTTTATTTGCTCTTCGCCAGTCTTCATTTTTGGCAATATGAAAACAAGTTTCTTGAGCAGCAGAGCAGCTGCCAAAAAAAGCGAAACCCGTAAACCGAAAACCGAAACAAAGCTAAAAATGTTGAAGAAAGTCAGAGTCGGAGTCAGCTTTATTTTCTGAAAAACTTCTGCGTCTCAAAACTCGTTTTAATTTTTTTCTTTTCTTATTTCTTGTGGCTGGCTGGCTTGCTGGCTGGCTTGCTGGCCGTGTGTGTGCGAGCTTGTGTGTGCTGTGTGTGTGCGAGAGAGCTTCTACTTCAGAAAGACACAGGCATGCTACACATGGTGGTGGGCAAAAGGGAGACGCCAGACGGGCGGAATGAGAGTCTTGTGTAGATAACGGCACAGTGGGAACTCAAGAGCCAGGGCCTCCTCCAGCCAGTCTTCCAGCAGCCATATGTAGAACAGAGTACCCCAAGCAGGAAGGGTTTCCAGGGGCGGCTCTCACCTTCTTCCTCTACAAAGATCGCAGTACTCTGGACTCTGGACCCCACCGTCTTCTTCTTCCTCCCCTCGAGCAGCTGTTACCGGTTGCCGAAGAGTGTCACTCCCTACTAGCTCTGGTTCTGTGATCTTCTGGTCTCTCGGGCACCCTCATCCCCAGCCGGAGTTGCATTTTTTGGTTAGGACTCCCCGGTTATTTACTGGTACGCTTTGTGGGCCATCTTTCTTCGCCCATTCCTTCGATAAGATTATTTTCGCCAACAAACAGGCTTATCAGCGCCAAGCGAAGAATTCAAAATTGAACCCAAATCCCCATTGCCTGGCGGGTGAGGTGGGGAGCCCCGCGAGTTTCGTATTCTTATCGGAGGGGCCCTCCGATATTGTTGCATAATGCAGGTGCCCTCTGGGCTGAGACCCTGCAGAGCTCCTGGTCGGGGAAGTTGCCTGGCTCGGCAAAAAGGCTCTGGCTAAACCCGGGTCACCTTTCTTCGGTTGCTCGCTCGGCGCTATGGCTTTCTCACCAATATCTGGTTCCGAGCTCTCTGGGGCGAGCAACTTGTTGCTGCGCTCGCTCCCGCCCCTCGGTCTGTCCCGCCTCTGTTTCAGTCGCGTTGGTTCTTTTGCTTTTCCCTTTTTGGGTCGTCGGTGGTCGGTAGTCGGTAGTGGTGCTATCGACGCAATTTCAGCTCTGGCTGGCTGGCTGGGGCTTTGTGTGTTGACACGAACTCAATTGGCTTTTATCAGCTCGGGCGATAAGGTATGGCCCACAAGCAGGTGAGAGATACTCGCTAAACCCTCTGCAGCGGGGATTATGAAGCAAACTCTGCCCAAAAGGCCCCAAGGAGGGCCTAGCCTAACCACCTCCTTACCAGTAGAGGGTCAAACGCACTCGAATGACCCCCCCGCGTGTCTCAATAGATTCGGCCCCAGTGTAGTAACCCTAACGACCAGAGCCCAGCGGATAAAAATTCGCAAAAAACGAATATGTTTGACAATTGCAAGCCGTCAATCAATCAAAACGCGGAGGGCGGGCCGGGGGAAGTCGCGCTGGCCGGAATGCCGAAATGTTGGCCAATTGGGCGACGACGCACAACAAATACAACAAGTAGGTGCCCACAGAGACACGCTTTTATTCCATTCGAGCTGTGCATAATTGGACTTGGATGGATTGGATGATATGTCGAGGAAAAAATGTGTGCCTTGCCGTTTCGGCCGCGGTTGTAGCTGTGGTTGGGTTGTGGCCCAATTTGTGGCCCCAAAAAAAATACGGGGTGCAGGGAGGGAGCTTGTGAGAGGACCGCTCGGGGGACTCGACTCGAGCTCACACACTGGGTAGCTGCCACAAAGCCCACTTGCCTTCAGCTCCGGCACATTGTCCAGCTTCGGAGGCGGCCTTTCAATCGGAAATTAGGACGCGTTTGGTGGGCAGCAGAAATAGCAGCTTGCATAATGGAGCTCTGTGGCCGTGTATGTGGCATGAGTCGTTCGAATGCGAGAGTCATTAGTGGAAAAATAATTGCAATTCAATGCGAGCTCGCACAAGAGGAAAGTAACACCTTTTGGGGATTCGCAGAGGTACACACATTTTTCGGCATTGTCACATCGCAGTTGAGGTGGTAATTTATTTGTTTGTCTGCCTATTTGAATAAGCCTGGAAGGAAAATTCCAAGCAAGCTCTCCTCCCCAAGCTGCTTCCTCTAGACCTTACCAAATGCCAAGCACCGGCCCACGCACAAGACGGAATGTACTGCGGCCCCAGTCGACTGACGTCACAAGACCATCCCCAAAACTTGGCCAGAATCCCCAGCTGCCAAAATGCCCTGGGAAAGGGACTCCCGCCCTCGCAAACAGCTGATAAATGACTTTGGATCCTGCCCAGACCCAGACCCAGTTCGGTATCCTTCGTGAGGGTGCTGTTGGGGGTTGTTTCTCGTTTTCGTCTTGGGCCTGAGCCTGAGCCCGGGCCTGGACCTGGGCCATGTGCCTGGGCTGCCTCAAACGAGTTTGTCCGTGGGCGAGGTTCAGCCCGAGTCAGGGGAGGGATGCGGGGGGTAATCCTATCGAGTTCAAATGACTTTTTGTTGCAAAGGACGTGTGCGTATCGCGCATCTTGTCGGGCCAAGTCCTGGGCGTCTTTTCTTGATTGAAGATAGCTATTGATTTTGGGCCTCAACTGGAGATAGCTATTGATTTTGGTCCTCTAGTGGAGATAGCTATTGATTTTGGGCCTCAGCTTGAAGGTGCATCTTTAAGGTGACTCGCATATAGCACTTCGGCGGAGTCCATTCCATTTTGTTTATGGCGGTTTGGGGCTTCTGCGTTTGTTTGTTTTCGCAAATAAAATTAAAATGTAGCATTTAGTGCCCCCCTTGGGGCGTTGCTCCTCTTCGTGGCTGGTTTGTTTGTTTATTTGCAAATGAATGCCTCAAACTGGCATTTTGGCTAATTAACCGAGAGCCAGTCGCGCCGCCCACGCCGCCAATAACTCATTGCCTTCTATTGATACAGTTTTGATTATCGCTGCTTTGGAATGGAAGCGAAGAAGCGCCCCGAACCGTGCTGGTGCTGGTGATGGTGATGATGATGTCGATGATGAGTTCATTTTAATTGAGTTTCTCGATGGGCCGCCCTGAGCGGCTCGTGCTGGGAGTGCCTGTCCGATGGTGGGTGGGGTTCTGCGGCGGGTCTATATTTAGGGGTGATGGTATATCCCCTTTCTGATAATCTAGCTCTCCAAGGACCCGTTGGACGCTCTCCTCGGGTGACACCTTGCCTCCGGACATCAGAGTGAAGGATGAGCCTGAAAAAACAAAAACAGAGGCGGAAGACATCAGACTGAAGACTGAAGACTGGAAGAAAGAGCCGGAATCAGAGGCACGGACAGCAAAGCTTGAAGAAAGTGTAATCAACAATGTACGAGGGGGTTTCGGAAGGGAGCCAGGGGGGAGGGACATATCAGCAGCACAGCAGGGTCTGAAGAGAGAACCGTACACATTTTCCCTCACACTTCCGTGTGGCAGCCGCAGTGGAAGAAGCTGCAAGTCGCTACAAAATCAGGCCACTCCGACTTTGCAACAAGGCAAATAGAACAGCCAAACATTAGCACACCCCGCCCCCTACTCCCCCTTCTCCGCTACGCAAATAGAGAGGTCGGACACCCTGGGCATTGACATTTGGTGGATAGATAGATGGATGGAGGGCCACCCCGATGAAGTACTCCCCCGGAACACAACTAGGGACTTGTGTTTTGTCTCAGAGCTGATTCGGGCTTCTCACTGCATTGAACCTTAATTGCCCCATAAAATGCCACACCACACCACACCACACCACCCCGCCCACCCAACGGCCTTGTTCGTCCCTCGTGTTGACAAAGCTGCAGCTGCATTTAATGAGGTTTTTGGCCGTCGCCTTGTGGGAGGGGTGGGCGGCAGGGCAGGAGGGCCAGAGGGGTCATTGGCAGGGTGACTAAGTCACGCGACAATTCAGATAGTTGGCCGGGGCAGACGAGGATGTGGATCAGGGGTGGAAAACGAGATCCCGACAGTATTAGTATTCCAGAGGACCAATAGAGGCAGCTGTCGGGGCAACTCTTCCTTTCAACTGCAGCTCACCAGGATTTAATTGCGACTCCCTCACAAGAACTGCCCTTGACTCTTGACAGTTTCAGCAAATGCCAAGGACATGAGGGGTTCGAATTATTTATTCAGAATGCCTATAGCTTTTGCTTTGGGCTTTCGGCCAGCCAGCGTTGTTGGCCAACTAGTGGCTTTGTTTTTAAGCAGTTTTGGGAAACTCTTTTTGGCTTATGCTTCGGTTCCGATTTCCATTTCCGCCTAGCACGCAGCTCGAATGACCTCAGACCTTTGGTTATGGCTGTTTTTAAATTTTTTTATGGCCCGTTTCTGTCGATGGGTGGCCGCAGCCAAGGCCGTGGCCGAAGAGCGAGCTGCGATTGGCTTTAAAAAGGGGGGCAGTCGGTGATGAATCCTGAAAACTTTGCGGAGCTGGCTCCATTTTTCGGTTTAACCCTAATAGATAGTGGGCCTTTGTGCGTCGTCGTTGCTCTTCTGATTGCAGCACTTTTTTGTAATTTTTATCAGAATCTCTGGAATTTTATCTTGACCATGCAAACATGCCTCTGTTGGGTGGTGCCTCCCCCGCGTTATCGCCCCTCTGCAGCTTTCTGGCTCTTCTTCACGAGATAAGATAGCGAAAGCGACTCGGCGACTGGGGCATTCGTATCACTGTTCTGTGGAGACTGGCGGAGGGCCCTGCAAAAACCTTCTATTTCGTCCACCTATTCATGTTGGTGTTGAATGTATTTCGTTGCCCGCTTGCTGGTGCTGAGTAATGGCAAAGGCGAGTACAATTTTCAGTCTTCACGTGCAGAGCTCATGCCTC